GCTATCATTCTTAGGCTAAAAGAAAAGTCATTTTCATCTTTTAATGGAGGTATGCATCGATGCATTACACCATGCATCGATGCATAAATCTTATTCGATGTTTGTATTTAATGGGGTGCATCGATGCACTCCTTATGCATCGATGCATCGATGGCATTCGATGTTTTCTTTTTAAATTAATGCATCGATGCACTCCATGTGCAGCGATGCACCTTAAACAATTTCTGAGATTTATCATTGATGCATCAGTGCACAATGAATGTGCATCGATGCACATTGCCCAGAATTGTCATTTTAGCACGGAAATCTCTTCTTAGTCTACTTAACACTTTATATTACCCCTCTTTTTATATCCTTAACTTACATACTCTTACTTAAACTACTAATTATTCATTTCATACTTTCAAAACTTAGAAATCTGATTCTCCATGTAGAGTTTAAGAATCTAACCCAAATTCCAACATGTTCTAATTTGAATTCTAACACTTCATACCTCTTAGTTAGCTTAATGACAAGTCAAATTTCACTTCTAATTCTTATTAAGAACCCTATTCCAAAATTTCACTTTTTTACTTCCTTTCTTTAATTCTTCATACACTCCTCATCTTATGGTTTTAAGATAATCTAAGCTTTCCTTAAGCTTAGTTATCAACTAAGGATCAATAAGAAACCTTAAATTCATCAAGAATTTGATCACAAAAAAACTCATCTTTAGCTTGGCTTCACGGCAGAGAAGGAGAAGGAAGAAGAAAGAAAGATCCAGAACCTTGTTTCTCTCATAAGCTTACCACGTGGATTTAAATATCCTTAAAAAACATTTAATTTATTTCCTTGCCAAAAGACCCATTTGCCCCTTTAGTTCCCCATGCTTTGCTAATTGATCCTACCCCAAATATTTCAATCAATTCCTTCAACTTTCAATTTATCTACTTTGATCAATAACTTTTAAAATTTCACAATTTAATCACTGACCCGATATAGAGGATGTTACAGGAGATTTATCCAAAAGCCCAAATGAATAACCCAAAACTCCTAACCCATATTTCGGGGCGTTACACTTATTCCTAAGGTGGACAGTCCTAATACGTTCAACGACTTTCGCCCAATCAGTCTGTATTATGTGCTCTACAAATTAGTTATGAAGATTATTACGAATAGATTCAAAATTATTCTTCCTAAATTAATTGCGCCTAATCAAGCGAGGTTTATAATGGGGCAGAACATCACATATAATATTATCATGGGTTATGAGATTATTCATTCTATGAAGAAGAAGAAAAGAAAGACTTGTTGGATGGCTATCAAAGCCGACCTCGAAAAGGCACATGACCATGTTAAAAGGAATTTTCTCTCGGACTCTTTCAAGGATATGGGGGTGTCCCGAGAATATCCATCGGATCATTATGGAGGCGGTGATCTTAGCTACTACTAAAATCCTCTAGAATGGTTCTTTGAATGAGGAGTTTAAACCCTCCTGGGGCATTCGCCAAGGATGCCCTCTCTCGCCCTACCTCTTTGTTATTTGTATGGAAAGGCTTACTCACAATATTCAGTATGCAATTCAAATAAATTTTTGGGAACCGATGATTCTCTCTCGTTGAAGTCCCTCTATCCCACTTCTTTTTTGCTAATGATCTCATTCTTCTGTGTAGAGTGTTGGACTATCAAGTTCGGATTCTCAAAGCCATCTTCGACCATTTTAGTAGATTCTCCAATTACAAGGTCAACTCCAACAAAACAAGAGTTTTCTTTTTGGCCAATATGGAGAAGAGATGGGCGGTTAGTATATGCAACGAGTTAGGCTTTCAACACACCAAAGATCTGGGGAAGTATTTGGGGATGCTTTTGTTCCATAGCAGAGTGACGAAGAACACCTTCTAGTTTATTATCGATAAGGTGCGAAACAAACTCAATAATTGAGTGGCCACCAAATTATCCATGACGAGTCATGTCACACTCACCAAAGCTACTCTTTTGGCCACTTCAAACTATTTTATGCGGATTGTTGCCATCCCATAAGGAGCGTGAGACCAAATTGAAAGCATTGCGTGGAGATTTATTTGGGGGGACTCGAAGATAGCTTTGGTTAGTTGGGAGAATTGCTGCAAACCTATGGATCATGGGGAACTCGGCATTTGCTCTCTCTGGTCCTAAAATGACGCGTTCCTGGTGAAGCTAGGATTTAACCTTATCATGCACCTGAAAGGCCTTTGGGTTAAAGTGTTACGATCCAAATGCAAATTACAAGGGAGTATTCCACATCACCTTGAACCTAAGAATGATTCTTTTATATGGAAGTCCCTTTCTCATATTTGGAATGTATATTCATTGGTATGTAGGTAATAGGCGCAGTACCTGATTTTGGGAGGACGCGTGGATCCTAAGCAAGGAACCGTTTCATGCAATCTTTACTAAGCCTCACACGTTTAGCTGTCACATATACGTAAGGGACTTTATCACAAATGAAGGCTCTTGGAATATTAACCTTCTGAAGAGTGCCTCGATGATTAGTCCCTTCAATGGGTGATGACCACTCCTCCCCCGAGTGATGGCTTAGGCAAAGACCTCCCTCTTTGGTGCTGGGAATAAACCGAGCATGCACCGTTAATTCAGCTTTTCACTATCTTGAGAGTGATCAGTGGAAAGACCCAATAAAGTATGGAATATTGTGTGGAAGTATGATGAACCTCAGCGGGTTAAACACTTCTTCTGGCTAACCATACACTACCGTCTTATAACGTTGAGAGGGCAAGAAGAGGCTTGAGTTCAGGCCCTTTGTGCTGATTTGTAACAGAAGCGAGAAGTCTATTTTACACGTCCTTAGAGACTGCCATACAGCTAGGAATGCTTGGGAGCAGCTAGTTCCAAGCTCTGATAAGATATGTTTCTTTTCCATAGATTTGATTGATTGACTCCGAGCTAACCTTTACCATAATGCATGATGGAACCATGTCGACTACCAGTGGCATCACCTCTTTGGCATTCTAGCTTGGAGATTGTGGAAGCAAAGGAACAATTTTATTTTCAAGGGGCAAATTTGGTGTGTTCCGGAGACGATAAAATCGGCATAGACTTGGGTAAAAGCCATCCGGAAGGAAAACAAAGTTGGAGCTAGTCGACCTCAAATTGGGCAATGCGCGGCTGGCAACCTGGTGAAGTTGAATACCAATGCCTCGGTGGATCGCATAACCATGGCAACAACAAGTGGAGGTGTCCTTAGAGACAACAATGGAGCTTGGATTACTGGTTATTCTCGAAGTATTGGAATATGCTCGATATATCAAGCCGAAATTTGTGGGGGGGGGGGGGGTCCTTGATGGCTTAAATATTGCATGGAGCAAAGGTTTCAGACATTATGGTCGAATCATACAATAGCGAGCTCGTTCGAGGGATTAATTCCATCATCCATCCTCTCAATGATTCTCTAACGTGCCATATCGACAATATCTTTAGCAAAAGTTGGTGTGTCTAGATTACTAACATCAATCGTGAGGCGAACAAATTAGCCAACGCTTTGGCCCACATGGGAAGAAGCACAACTCCTAGTTTGTTGCATCTACCACACCTCCGGACGAGGTTCAAACCATCCTCAGAGACGACAACTTAAGCTCTAGAGACGTCTAAGCCACTGCTGCACAGTGGTCTAAATTGGTAACCAAAAAAATTACTGAAATTTAAACTATATTATAAAGAGATTGGGTTTTGAAATATTTTGAGTGACATTGTTCAGCCTTAGAAATCTGTTGGAAAAGCTGATATGTTACAACAAACTTGCACTTATTCTTAAGGAACAAATTATAACAAATCAGAAATATTAAACAAAAGAATCCTAATAAAACAAAAAACACAAGAGTTATGTATGCTTATCATATTAAAGAAAAAGTAAAAAAGTGATTAAATAGTGGTTTGACCTTTTATTTATAAGTTAATATCTTTTACATTTTAGATATTGTTAAAATAGATGACTAAAATTTATTCCTACATAAATATACAACTTCCAGAACTCCTTTAAGTTAGTGTACACTTGATTTGAGGTGGTGGAACAAATTTCTCCCGATTAAGTTTCTTTTAGAGCATTTAAGACTAATATATTTTTGTATGGATAGAACCAATATCAACATCTGATTGTAGGATTATATTTATTAAATTAAATTAAAATTAAGATTGAATTGATATAATGTATACATGATGAAAATCAAATATTTAATTATATTAATTTTTTTAATTTCATCATAAACTATTATGTCATATGTTAACCATATGTGGTTTGATCGACAACATTTAAATAGTAAATTGATCTGATTGATAAAATAAAGAAAACTAATGATGAAAATTGAATTCATCCATAATATAATGGTCATATGTAGTTTATCCTAAAAGTTATGCCATGGATAATGATGATGTCTTGATGAGGTGATTGCAACATAACATAAGCTATTCGAGAGAGTATAGTTTTAGGGTCAAACCCATATTCGTCTGCCACCACCTCAACGACGTTCCACTACAGTTGTTGACCCACCACCACTAATGTCTCATCCAACGCTTCATTTTCATTCAACTCCAATCCAAACACACAAGTAAAGATTTAGGTCATATTTGTTTTCATCCCTCTATAATACTCAAATTTAAAATTTAGCCCTTCTACTTTAATTTAGCATAATTTATTAATGATGAATGATTTTAATTTTATCATCTAACTTCTAACAAAGAGTACATGACAACATGATGAATTTGAATGATTTTTTAAAAAATATTATGTTAATATTTTAGTCTAAATATTTAATGATGTTCAATATTTGAATTCATTAATGGCGTTACAAAATTAAAGGATTTAATTATATTAAATTAAAATGCAGTGGTTAAATGTTAAAACTTAATCATAATATAGTAATCATAACAAAATTTGACCAAAGAAGTACCACAAGGAAAGAAAGAGGGACCTTTTCTTCTTTTGGATGTAATATAGAGAGAGAGAGAGAGAGAGAGAGAGAGAGAGAGAGAGAGAGAGAGAGAACAGGGACAGGGAAATAAGAGAGGAACGTTTTGATTTTGCTGAGTCCGTTTTTCCAGTTAAGAAAACAATTGCTTATATTATGAATACGAAGGACGAAGCAAGCATGAGTATGGGGTCGGACCAAGAGATAGCAAGAGGGGTGGAGGCCCTTCTCCTGTATCCGGATCCCACCGGCGCCACCACCTTGAACGACGTCGTTCAGCAGCTGGAGGCCAAGCTTGGGCTCGACCTCTCCCACAAAGCTGGCTTCATCCGGGACCATATCATCTCCCTTCTCAGCTCACACCAAACTCAAACAACTTCCGGGGACCATTTTACCCTCCAACACTACCCTCACCAACAATTCCCTCCCCATTTTGCCCTCCAAAATCATTCTCATTTCCCTTCCCATGACCTCAGCTTCTGCCAACACCCCCAGACGCCATACTCGCATTCTCCAGTTACGGCTGATCAACCGCCGCCGCAGGTTCAGCCGCAGCCGGTTGTTGAGAAAGCCCAAGTCTTCTCTCAAAATGCCGCCACTGTTGCCACCACAGAAGTGCCTAAAGAAAGGTTTGTCCCTTTTTTTACTACTTTTGCAAGCATTTTGAGGAGACGTAAGAAATGAGATCCATTTGGGGGAACGTTTGGTGCAAACTGAAGTTGGGGGTTTCATGCCTGAGTGTTTAGACTTTTAAAGTTAGGATTTTTGTGTAATTTTCCCTTGTAGAGAACTAGAGATTTCATTTTAAAGTTTCACAAAATACCATTCTGGTTTGGTTGAAAATGTGAAAGGTATTTATTTTCTTTAGCAAGTCATAAGTTAATCTGCAAGCATGCATTGCCTATGCAAGTATATTCGTGTTCTTATTGGCTTTATTGTCAGCTTTACTAATATTTTGTTCAACGTGAATTCATGATTGGAATCTGAGCGTTGATCCTTGATGTTTTATCAGCATAAATGACAGTTATCAGTTTCAACAATGATTCAAGTATTTGTCTGTGTTATAATATTATTGCAGTGCTCCAGTTGGAACCAAAAGAAGAGGCGGACCAGGTGGTCTGAACAAAGTTTGTAGGGTTTCGCCAGCGCTTCAAGTGATTGTTGGTGAGCCAGCTTTGCCTAGGACTGAGGTTGGTTTCCCTGATTACCCGTGATTGCAGTTTGTTCCCCTTTCCCCACTAAAGAAACTTTTCATGCATGGATTTTGCCGCTTAATAATATCTGTTCTCTTCTGGATTTAGATTGTGAAGCAGCTATGGGCATATATAAGGAAGAACAGCCTCCAAGATCCAAGCAACAAGAGAAAAATAATCTGTGATGATGCATTGCGCTTGGTGTTTGAGACAGACTGCACCGACATGTTCAAGATGAATAAGCTACTAGCAAAACATATTACCGCATTTGAGCCTTCAAGTACGTGTTTGATGAATTATGCTGCTATATATATTTGTTGACGAGTTGGATTTGATGTCTTTATCATTCGATTTATAATCTTGCTAATCATTTCAGAGGAGTCGAACCAAACTAAACGACTGCAAGCTGATTCCGAGTCTAGAACCGAAAGTGTTGAACCAAGTGCCAGCCCTGTCATAATATCTGAAGCCCTTTCCAAGTTTTTGGATGCTGGAGGACGAGAGATGCTATCAACCGAGGCAGAAAGCCGTGTATGGGAGTACATAAAGGTCAATCATTTGGAGGTGCGGGTTGGCAACTTAAAATGCTTTGTCATGTTCTCAGGTTTTTGTGCTGTTAATGTGATCTTTCTTCTATGGATTCAGGATCCTGTAAATCCAATGGTGGTACTCTGCGATGGTAAGCTCCGCGAGCTTCTTGGATGTGAAAGCATATCTGTGATGGGGATACGTGATTTGTTACTACATCATCATCTATTTAAACATTCATGAGATCCGGTCATGTTGACAGGTTAGCACAAACGCCTGAATAAGTTTGTTCTTATAACTGCAAAACTTCCATGAATTTATCTGTCAATAGGTTTCTAAGCGAGGCACTGTCGCTGCTAATTGTTCTATCTCGCTATTTGCAGGGAGCATGGGAGCTTGGTCATCTATGTTATCTATGGTGGTGGAACAAATAGTTAAGACCTTTTATCCATTATCTATTTATTTTTTGTGCATTGACTACTTTAGAAGCTTTACAATAGTTGCTTGCACATGGTAAAGAATGAAAATCTAGTAGCATAGGTCCATGGCATTGGCAATGATAGATTTTGTGGTTATGCTGCCAGCCATTAGCTTGGATGTAGGTGTACTTGTTCATGTTGCTAAAAAACGGACCCATCTTTCCGATGCTAACCGTAAACTAAACCGAATCAGAAACATTTGCATCTAGCTATATAGATAGGAGGGTTACATTGTCAATAGCTGTTTCTTAAACAGAGTAATCGAACGAGAAGAAAAAGAAGCTATCTAATACATTGAGAAAAGCAGAACGGTAGCTATAAACAACAGAGCAAGAACTGCACTTATGACCTTCTTTTTCCAGGCTTTGGATGACACCCCCGAGCTTATATTGTCCATTATGTTTGTCAAGTATCCGATTATTTTCTGCACACAAATGCATTAGAAGATAGGTTGATTCCATTAGTGTAAGTGTTGAAGAAAACTTGTAGATCACTTACTAGCCTGAATGGTTCCACATGGAGGAGTGGTTCCATGAACATCTCAACATTCCTGGTCGTAATCGCCGGATATTATTATCATTGGCTTTATGAAAGAACATAAATAAATATGAAGCATGACAATTATATCTCTTGTTGCATGTGGTGATGCTTTCATTACCTTATCATCACTTTTCCACGGTAGACATGGCAAGTATAGAAGCTGAAACCTTTTCCCAGTGGCACATTAGCTTAATTCCACTCTGCAACACATAATATCAGAGATCTTGCTTAAGGGACATTGAACTTCTTATGACTCGATCTAACATGCAGTGGTACCTGGAGTCAGAAGTTAAGACCATAATTTATTGAAATTTAATGTTGTGAAGGAAGGGCAAACCTAATCTCCAATGGATGCCAACAACCATCCCTTCATTCAGTGTTGTTTGCACCACAAATTCAATGTGATTTCCCATATACTTTATCAAAGAAGTGAAGAATTCAGTCACTTGCTGCCAACATGAAAGAACCAACCAATCATAAACATGTTTGAGACCTTCCATTATCAAAATGAATACAATGACTGGGGACCAAATGCTTGCTTGTTACCTCTTTCCCTTGTAAAGGTCGGAAACACGAGAAGAAATTGCAGATGCATTGACATTCATCGTCGATGATATCAGATAGTTCACGTATGTTTCGGTTCTTGATCGCCGAGTAAAGCTTGAGAACCGTTTCCAAGGCTCCTAGCGAATCCTCCTCTTCCGAACCAGAAAGCTTGGCAACCGATGGCACTAGAGTCGATAGGCCTCGTTGCTGCCGTGAAGGGTAAGTTACCGGAACCAAAGACTGCTTCAAATATGATGAATGGAAATTGCTATAAATACAAGTTATTCCACCATGAATATTATGGAGGGAAGGTCTATGCAGAAATGGTTTTGAGTTAATTCGTGTGTGCTGGTATAGGGTTAGATGGGCAGCAAATGAGGCTGAACTCATCTTCAAGGTTTTTATCAATGGATGCAAAATTAAAGCTCTAACATGAAAAATGAAATGGAGTTTTAGATGTTTTTATAATTATATATATAGAGAGAGAAGCTAAAAGAGGAAAGAAACAAAGTTGTATAATATACAAAAGGAAAGAATGAGATTAACATCAATTGAAAGTTAAGAATCTTCCTTGCGAAAATTGATGAGACTCGTTACTGTTGCAGTTTGATATCGTTTAAGTAATGCTTCAAGTTTGAGTCATTTTGTATGCAGAAAATTTTTACTGAGAGACTCACCCATCAAAATCAAGTGTGCAACTTGAGTCTGTCTAGATGCAGAAAATCCCTATTGGAAGACTCACATCAAAATTAAATATGCAATTTGGATCGATCCAGATTAGTTAAGACGAAACCTTAAAACTGGAGAAAAAAAGTCAAAAATCAAAATCGAACCGAATAGAATGCAAACCATTCCATCAAATTATTGGTTTTAATTTTTTTAAATGAATTTTATTTATTTCTTATGTATAAATTGTCGAATTTTTAATTTTAAGGTCTATGATTTATTTTTCAACTTCTATGATTCAAAAGGCTTTATTCGTGATTTTCGTCCTAAATTATACTCTTTTTTCTCATTTTCACCATAAATTAGGGCCAGTTTAATATTAGAAAATATACATTATTTTTATTAAAATAATTTCTGAAAAAAAAAATTCAATATTTTCATTAAAATTAAAATTATACGGATTCAATTTCTTTTAGCAATAAAAAATATTTTTAATATTTTCAAACCAATATGAAAACATATCAAATTAGAAAGTGATTTCTGAAAAATAAAAAAAAAAAGTGGAAATATGAAAACATAATAAAGATATTTTTAATATTTTCATTAAAATTATTTTGTAAATTTGATAAATAAGAAAATATAATATTTAAATTTTTAACTTAACTTATACGGATTCAATTTCTTTTTGCAATATTTTCTTGACTTAATAGTATCCGAAACCCTCAAACTTATTTAAAGAATCAATATAGTCCATGAACTTTTTCTACACTTAATTTGGTCCTTAAACTATTTTTTAATAATTCAATTTTGTAGTATTTTTATATTAATGTATTATATATATTGATAATTATTTATATTTTATATTTTATATTTTAAATTTCTTAATTTCTTAATTTTTCTAAAAAATTAATTAATTTATTAAACTTTTAAAAAGAATCAATTAGGCCCTCGAACTTAGCCAAAAACTCATCTACCGCATCATTGCCCATCATATACTACCACAATAATATCATGAACTATCACATCAATATTATAAGTTATCATGTAAGCTTTGTGAAATGTCATGTAAGTATCGTGACGATCAACATTTAATTCTGTTAGTCAAAGAGTTATATTGATTTTTTTTTTAGTTTAAGAGTCGTAGTGTGTAAAAAAAAAAAAAGTTTAAATACTACACTAGTTTTCCCCCCCAAAAGTTTGAGGGACTTGAATACCACTAAATATTTTTTATATTTTAACGACATTTTGTGTGCTCTATTTACAATAATATTTTTGTGTATTTTTTTAAATTTAATTGATGTTCAATATGCATTGACATTATATTCTTATTATAAATTAAAATATTTTTTGTGTTATAAAATTTCTTATCAACTTTATTGTTTCATATTTGCATAACTCACATATTAAATTTATGTAATAAAATATTTTAATATAATTATTGAATAACTATTTGTTCATCTCTACTGTTTTAGATATTTGCATTTTTGAATTGAAAATTTCATTTATATTAATAAAACATATTTTTTATTTATAAAAAACTGAAAATAAACTCTAAAAATAAGAATAAAAATATTTTTTAGAATCAAACGAGATTTTTTTTTCAATTTGCCCTGTAAACTATCATTTTGTTCATTTCACTCAAAAAATTATCAGCATTTTTTTTTATTTTTAGGGTAAATTGAGATGAAAATGATAATTTACGGGTAAATTAAAAAATAATAATTTATGGTGTAAAGTGAAAGAAGTGTATAATTTGAGTGAAAACTTTGTGCTAAGCGAATTCAAAATTAGATCTTTATTTTACAACTTCAACTAGCTGATTGCTGCCGGTAAATAGAAGTTCAGCGGCATCGAGGGAATCAAAACGACAAAGAAGAAGCAATACTACGCAGGTAACAAAATTAAAGATAGAAAAAATAAAACAGAAGCCAAAATCTTTGTTTTCGATCAACGATGGCGGAAGATCTGGTTCTCGACACGGCGATCAGAGATTGGGTGCTGATACCTCTTTCAGTGGTAATGGTCCTCATCGGCATCCTCCGGTATTTCGTCTCCAAGCTCATGCGCTCTTTTCAAGTCCCCGATCATAAGATCGTCAAAGAAGGGCAAGTCTCTCAGATTACCTCTATTTTTCTTGTACGTTTTTAATTTTTATTTCGACAAGCTTAATAATAGGTCTCGGATTCACTTATTCTCGAGTTTCTATTTTGCAGACAAGTAATTGTTACTTTGTTAGGGCTCGGAATTTACGAGCTGCTGCAAATTTCATCCCTCCGAAGTCTTTTCGCTCCCGTAGGGTCTATTTCAGCAACGAGGTTTGTTTTTCATCTTCCTTTGGAATTTCTGTTATCATAATTTATTCTATAATTCTCCCCCCCCCCAAATTGTGCTTATTTCTTCTTTTCTAAAGCTTTGTTGAACTGTTAGCTGATTATGTGATTAATCAGATATTGTAATCAGGCTTCCGTGAGTTTAGTTTCTTTTTATAAGCAAATTGCAATTAGTCTAGAAGTTGTGAATTCCAGCTAATTTTAAGCTTAATTGAGTGTTAAAAGTCTGGTTATATATATATATATTTGTCCCAGAAAAGGAGAAAATTGAAGTATCGCACGTTGTAATCAGGCTTATGTCAGTTTAGTTTCCGTTTAGGAAGAAATTTACTATTAATCAAGAAGCTGCGAATTGGAGCTAATATTAAGGATAAATTGATGAAAATAGTGCATTTATGTATATGTTTGTCTCAGAAAGGGAGAAGATTAAAGTATCACATGTTGTAATCTAGCTTTGGTCAGTTTAGATTCTGTTTAGAAGAAAACTGCAATTTTTTTTTGAAACCTGGTACTTTGTATAAAAGGGGTACAAAATACACCACCTCAAGGACCTCATTAAAAAACCTCCCTAATCCTAAATGGAGGAAAAAGAGAATACTGCAATTTTTTTTTGAAAGAGGGTACTTTGTATAAAAGGGGTACAAAGTACACCACCTCAAGGACCTCATTAAAAAACCTCCCTAATCCTAAATGGAGGAAAAAGAGAATACCTTGAGGTGGAAAGGATCTAAAAACAAACAATACTTTAACAACAAACAATCCGAACTCTAGCCAAACAACGAACCGCAGGCCAGTTCAGAACCGTTCCAACATAAACTAACGACAGGAATGAAAAAAGAAAATCGAAAGGATCATACACAAGCAACAGACCGTTTCACACAACCCACGACCTGAACTCAACCAGCAGCAGCAACCAAAACGGAGCTAGAAGAACATCCAACAAAACACCAGCTCCCTAATTGCACCCACTGCCATATTTCCAACAAAAAAGTCGGGTTAAATTTATTAAAATGATCCATTTATATTTGTCACAGAAAAGAAGAAAATTAATGAAATTCATATTTGACTTTGTATGAAAATGGACTGCTGTTTGACCCCAAGGGCCAGACTCAAAATGCACAAGCACAAATGTTCTCTGACCCTAGCATGGCTATGGACATGATGAAGAAAAATCTCTGTATGATTATACCTCAGGTATTTTTATGGTTCTTAGAACTTTTGTGTTCATATGCTTTGGTTTGATTGCTTATGTCCTGGAATTGACTTTTTTGTGTAAACTGTTGTTACTGCCAGACTCTCACTTTCTCCTGGGTCAACTTTTTCTTCTCTGGTTTTGTTGCAGGTCTGAATCCTTATTTCTGTCTTACTTCCAAAATTTCTGAGTATTTTCCTTTAATTCGACGATCATGATTGAATTTACATTTGTGTTTATGAAATTGATATCATGCATCTGATGTTCTGAATTTGCTAAAATATACCCTTTTCTATTATATTGGATCTGTTTTATTTTTCACTCTTTATCATGGGCACAATCTTTCGTTTTATTGAAATCAAAATTCTTTTAACTGATCTTGTTACTGTTATTTGCTGATGTTATTTCACTATTAGTAAACTGTAGTGTAATGCGATTCCTCTCATAGTTGTAAAAAGCGCGCCTGAGGCGCAAAAGCGCAGAGGCTCACTGAACGGGGCTTTTTCAACACTGAAGCGAGGCACGTAGCTTAGGCGCACCTAAGTGCAGCGAGGCGCTGAGGCGTGAGGCTCAGTCGAGGCACAATTGAGGCGCGATGAGCTGAAAACCTTGTAATTATTATTGCAGGGCTTCTCTCCTATGGGCCGACCCCCTAAAACCCTCAATCGACTGAAGATGATGAAATGGTAGCATTGTATTGCCTTCTTTGAAAGGGATCAGGAGATCGGAACTCGAGAAAGGATCAGTCAAAACGACACCGTTTTTCGGGTCTCCAGTTGCACTGAGCATGAAATTCAGTGGGAAAGTGAGAAACAGAAGAGTGAAAGCTTACTTGGTTTAACGAAAGAATCTCCAGTCAGAGACTAAGAGAGAGAGAGAATGTTGCAATTGGATTTTGGTGGTGGAAGAGATGGAAACAGAGAGACAAAGAAAAATACTGAGGAAGCGAAGTGAAAGTGAAAGTGAAAGAAGACAATTATATTAATAATGATATTTATAAACACGTGTATATCTATCAAAAATTTACACAAAGTTTGACAAAAGATAAAATCCATAACTATTATTTTACTCAGCATAATTTGTTTTATTGTGATTTCTTAATTTTTCACGTTACCAAAATATTATTAACATGTAAATGCAATCTTTTTGTTTTATTAATATATTAATAATATGATAATTTTTTATTAATTTAAAATTTTTTAACTTATAATTATTTAACATATTGATCGCGAATTAATATGTAAATTGAAATAATTTCAAACAAACCTTGGAAAGGCAATACAATATTGTCATCATCTTGAGTTGAAGCTTGAAAGGAAAGGAAAAAGCTAGACTACACCTTGTAGATGAAGATGATGAAGTTGTTATGCTAGAGGAGAGTGACATTGAAGAAGAAGACATTGGGGATTGTGAGACGAATGAGGAGGAAGATGATGACATACCACTTGACAATGATGATGAGGATGAGTTTGATGTTTGATGATGATTATCAGTGATTTTATTTGATTGTTTATGCATGTTGAATGTTTTTGTTAAACTTAGTACTTGATTATGCTTGTTGATAGCTTTTATGATGTTAGGGTGATATTTTGAGTTTGAGAATGAACTCTATTGAAGCTTAATATTGGGTATCTATAATATTTTAGTTTGATTGCATTAATATATACATGTATTACAATTTTTTGGATATCATGCGTCTCGCCTTCGTGAATCCCGCGCCTTTCATACGCCTCGCACCTCAAGTCTCCAGGACACTTTGCGCCTCGATGCGCCTTGAGCCTTTAATAACTTTGAATTTCCTCTTCTATTTTTCCGTGTTCATATCTTGCAGCCAAAATACCCTTCCCATTAACTCTTAATGTTGCAGAATGGAATTGACCTTAGCACAGTAGATGTTAGCTATGTCAGTAGCAGCAATGGATGATACACAGCGAATGATGCAGATGAGTGGGTTTGGCTTTGATCCATCGAAGGTATTTGATCTCCATTGAGTGTTGCAGGCTGAAGAAGTCTTGCAAGCTTAATTTAATTTCACTTGGTCTTATATTCCTCAACTCGCTCTTTGTCCCTTTAACAGAGATCATTGAGCAGCATGTGTCAATGGTTGTTTGTTTATGATTTTATGTTGGCAGCAACGATAGCTTGGCAATTAGAAAAGTTTTAGAATGGGAAAATGGATTTTCATTTTCCACAAAAATAGACCAATACTGCCCCTGCAGCACCACCATTGCTATTGTGCTGCCACAGTCTTTTTGTTCTTGCAATGTCCATGCAACTTGGGCTGCCAGACTCATAGATCTTCATCATATTTGCATCTAAGTTTATTATTTCTTTGTAAATTTGTGTCTTTTTTTCTTTTTGTGGCATTTTATCACCAAGGGCCTAGTTTTTCTTCATAACTTAGAATCCTCCCGTGCTTTTGGCTTCATGATATTTACCCGTTGAAAATAATTGGGGTAGATTTCAGTTGATGCTTTTCCTCACCATCAACTTGTCGTGTTCCCTTTCCCTTTTTGCTTTGCTATCAGGTCAAAATCAATTACAAAATGATAAGAATTGCATGGAACTTTTAGTCTGATGAAAGATCAACTCAACTATTGTTTTTAGAAGGCATTGTTGTTTTAGCTAGTTGATATATATCATTTAAATTTGTAAAGCATCTTGAGGAGTTTCCAGTGAAACAAACTTTGCTTGTTTCTCAGCTTTTGCAAGCGAAGATTCATCTGTGAGTTGGATATTTGCATTTCTTAACATAGATTGCCTCCTAATCCTTTGATTTTCTTCATTCTTGGCAGAGCCTGGGTGCTGAGAAAGTTGGCCTTGACGTAATCCAACATGAATGGGCACTCCCTAAATTCGAGCATCGTGCTGAATCAGTGTTGAAAAGACTAAACATTAGGAGCATAATCAACAACTCTCCAAAGGGGCTGGTTTGATCGAAGTTTTCATCATACGAGCTCACCGAAGTGTAAAAGAGGAAACACATAGAAACAAGGGTAGGCTTTAGTTTATGTTCCAATTCTACGAGAAGCAAGAAGAAACTTGTGACTTTACTAATTTTTTGCTCTTAGTAACTTTATGTTGGATCTTTGGCCGGCCTGCTGGCTATCCCGATCGGTTCTAATTTCTTTCGCCTCATCACAAGTTGGTTTTAAAATTGAATAACTCTTATTTACATTCTAATTGTTACATTTGTTGAATCAAAAAGAGTAAAAACTCTAATTGATTAAGAAGATGAAAAAACTCTCTTTAGAATAATCTCACAAAATTGCAAAAGGGAAGAACTCTTAAGAAAGCTTTCAAATTCTTATAATTAAGTTTTGATTGTTGGATGATAAAACTCAAATACAAGTAGGGTATTTATAGGTTACAAGAAACAATCTAAACCATTCATTAAAATAAGCACTAAATAATCTAAACCATTGAAATTAAAACATGAGAAAAATATTTAATTTTCACCTAACTAAATTGATGTAAGCAATGATATCAAATTAATTTAGGTGTGAACTTATTTAGGTTAATATTGAATTTTCAACACTCCCCCTCAATGTTAGCCTCTATTCTTTGAATCACGCCATGTTGACGACGGAAATGTTCAAACTTTCTAACACTCAAGCTTTTTGTAAACAAGTCAACAATTTGCTCATTTGTCTTGATTTGCCTTATCTCAATCTCTTCTTGCAAAACTTTTTCCCTAACAAATTGGTTATGTACTTCCACATGTTTAGTTCTTGCATGAAAAACAGGATTCTCTGCCAGCCGAATTGCCGATTGGTTGTCACAGTACAAAGGAATTGCATAATCTACTGGTTGATGTAGATTATTCATCAACTGTATCAACCATGTACTTTCTTGAGCTGCCATTGCTGCTGCTCGATACTCAGCTTCAGTGGTTGACAATGATACCGTTGGTTGTCTCTTGCTACACCAAGAAATTGTTCCGGATCCAAACTTAAATACATACCCAGTTGTTGATCTCCTGGTGTCATGATCTCCTGCATAATCAGCATCACAATAACCAACTAACTTGTAGTCTTCACCTTTATTGTACAAAAGACCATAGTCAATTGTACTCTTCACATATCTCAGTATTCGTCGAACTGCGTCCAAATGAGGCTTCTTTGGATTTTGCATATACCGACTCATCACACCAACTGCATAAGAAATGTCAGGTCGGGTCAAGGTTAAGTAGATCAGACTACCTACCAATTGTCGATACATTGTTGCATCTTCCAAATCTTTTCCTTCATGTGCACACATTTTGACATTTAGTTCCATTGGCGTTGAAGTTGACTTGCATTCGAGCATTCTAAACCTCTTCAACAAATCTTTAGCATATTTCTGTTGACACAGAAATATTCCTTCGTGTGTGCGATCAACCTCTAGACCAAGGAAGTGCTTAAGCTGTCTAAGTTCCTTCATTTGGAAACGAACTGATAAATTCTCCTTCGTCTGACGAATTTCTGCCTCATCATTACCGGTTATGATTAAGTCATCCACGTAAACTAGCACGATAGCTAGCTTACCTTCATTGGCTTTAATAAACAAGCTAGAATTTGCAGGTGTTACTGAATAACCACTTTTCGTTAGAAATTCAGCAATCTTACCATACCACACCCTAGGTGTTTGTTTCAATCCGTAGAGTGCTTTTCGCAGCTTACACACATATTCAGGATGATCTTGACTTTGAAAACCCATTGGTTGGGTCATGTAGATCTCTCGATCTAGGTCTCCATGTAGAAAAGCATTCTGCACATCCATCTGCCACAAGTTCCAGTCTTTGTTGGCTGCAAGTGCAAGTAGGACTCGTACGGTTGTAAGTTTTGCCATTGGACTAAATGTTTCATCATAGTCTAGTCCATACTGTTGAGAGAAACCACGAGCTACCAATCTCGCTTTGTACCTCTCGATTGACCCATCTGGACGACGCTTTAACCCATTTGCAAGATATGGGTTTCACATCTTTTATCTTTGGCACAATATCCCAAGTTTGGTTTTTCTGAAGTGCATCGATCTCTTCTTTCATAGCTGTCATCCACTCAGAACTCTGCGATGCTTCTTCGAGCGTCTCAGGCTCTGTTACTTCTTCAATTATGGCTGCATTGTCATATTTGGGATTTGGCCTTCGTATTCTTGTGGACCTTCAGAGTTGAGATTGTGGAATTGATTCTTCTGTTTCACTAGGCCCACCTTCTTCGTTTGGTTGTTGATACACTCCAGTTTGCCAAGGATTCTGAGTCACTCTTTGTTCAACATCATCGCCATTTGGATCTTCTGATTCATCTGAACTTGTTTGGAGTTGAACAGTATGCTCCCCCATCTTTTGTTGTAGCTTGTCTCCAAATTCTATCGAATCTGGCAACACCTCATTCTCTGAGGACCACCAAGAAGATGCTCATCAAATACCACATTTCGTGACGTGTAACATCTTCCACTAATTGAATCACAACATTTCCACCCCTTTCTCTGACTGTCATATCCCACAAAGATACATCTAACAGCTTTCTTGTCAAATTTGCTCTGTAAATGATCAGGAACAAACACATAACATACACAGCCAAATACTCGAAAGTAACTAACTGTAGGTTTTATGTTCCATAATTTCTCAAAGGGTGAAACAAATCCTAACCTTGGTTGAGGAAGTTTGTTGATCACAAAGGCTGCAGTCCTCATTGCTTCAGCCCAAAACCTTCCAGGTATGTTCTTTGCATGTAGCATACTTCGACAAATTTCTGCAAGATGTCGGTTTTTTCTTTCTGCTACACCATTCTGTTGTGGCGTGTTGGCACAAGTGTACTGATGGCGTATTAGACATTCCATTAGGTATGAGAGAACTCGTTTGATCTATATTCTCCTCTGTTGTCTGTGCGCAAGCAACATATCTTCTCTCCCACTTCTCCTTCAGCTGAGTCTCTGAACTCTTTAAACTTTGAGAATGTGTCAGGTTTTTCTTTCATAAAGAAAACCCACACATTCATGGAGAAATCATCAATGAATGTTACCATGTACCGCATACCGCTAATTTATTGTTGCTTAACTGGTCCGAACACATCAGAGTGAACCAACTCCAACGGTTGTTTTGCTTTAAACTTCGACTCGTCATATGGTAATTGGTGTGCTTTACCATACTGGCATCCCGCACAGACCGTGTCTATTCTCACGTCTAGTTGAGGAAGCCCCTTAAGCATCGACTTCTTCACCATCACACTTAGCTTGGAATAGCTAACGTGACCTAACCTTCAATTGTCAGCTGTCACCACCACACGACCTCCATTGTATTTAGACAGGTTTTGTAACTTCTGTTTGTCACCCGTCATATGATTTGAGCAGCCCGAATCTACGATCCAATCATTCTTGTAGTCAATATGTTCTAGTGTTGTTACCATGAGAGCTAGTTCTTCTTCCTTCGTAGCAAATAATACTTTAGCATCCCAACCATCTTCACTATTCTCCTTCGAACTGGAAGTAGCAGTATTACTTTCAACAGGCTTTTTCTTGGTCCAACAGTCTTTTGCCATGTGGCCCGTCTTCCCGCAGTTGTAACATTTTCCATCGAACTTTCTACTATTACCGCAATTCTTTGAAGCTCCCCCTGAATGATGGCCTCCCTTTCCTTGGTAATTTTTCACCTTATCACCATCCTTTTTAAATCCAATGCCAGTATACCGCTGAAAAGTGCCTCTACTTTTGCTGGTGTAGAGCGCTTCATCTTCACCCTTCAGCGAGACTCCTCCCATTTGCTTGGCCATGGCTTCTTAACCTGCAAGCAAATTTTCAAACTCAACAAGCGATGGTTGTGTCGGCCATCCATGTATAGCGACAACAAACCCTCGATATTCGGGTCTCAAACCATGAACAATTATTCTTTTTATCCTGGCTTCCCCAATAGCAGCTGTCATATCTAATTCTGAAATTTCACGATATATCGACTTCACCTTGTGAAAGTATTGGGCAACCGCCATGTCGCGTTGCGCCATTGATAGAAGTTCATTCTTGAGAAGTTGCAATTTTGTATCGTTCCTCTTCGAAAAGAGTGTAACAAAAGTGTCCCATGCTTCCTTTGGTGTTTTCGCATCCCAGATGTGCTCCAACATTTCTTCTTCAATTGTGGTCTTTAAAGCAAACATTGCTTTGTCTGCTTTAATTTTCCACTTTCGCAAGATGCCATTGGCATCTTTTTCCGCCGGTTGTGTAACTTCTTCACCACCGACAACCTCCCAAAGGTCTTGACCTTGTAAGTATGACTCCATACATGTTGCCCACGTGTTGTAGTTTTTGTTGTTGAGTTTCTTGATTCCTCCAACTACTTGAAGATCACCAATCTTAACGGCAAGACTTTGACTATACCGAACAAGTTTGAGTAACAAACGTGCAGAGTACTAAATTACTCTAGATACAAAGAAGCTTCACAAGGTTTGTAATAACCCCGACAATAATCTAAAAAAATCTTTTCTAATGTGGAAGATCAGTTAAAAACTGCAGCCACAGAGCATACTTGGAATTTTAAGAGACCTTAAAACGTGGCTCGGATACCAATTGTTAAATCAAAAAGAGCAAAAACTCTAATTGATTGAGAAGAAGAAAAAACTCTCTTTAGAATAATCTCACAAAATTACAAAAGGGAAGAACTCTTAAGAAATCTTTCAAATGCTTATAATAAAGCTTTGATTGTTGGATGATAAAACTCAAATATAAGTAGGATATTTATAGGTTACAAGAAACAATCTAAACCACTCATTAAAATAAGCACTAAATAATCTAAACCATAGAAATTAAAACATGAGAAAAATATTTAATTTTCACCTAACTAAATTGATGTAAGCAATGACATCAAATTAATTTAGGTGTGAACTTATTTAAGCTAATATTAAATTTTCAACAATCTATAAGTTATAGGTGGAATTCCGAGCCTATTTTACTTCAACGAATGTGAAATAAAGCAATGTAACTTGTGCTTTACATAAAGAGTCCAATTTCAGTGTCATTAACTGCGAGCCTGGATTCACACAGCATTGGGCTAGACATTTTCACGTGTTGGGGTTGGGTTGGCTTAGGATAATAATTTAGGTGGTTGGTTTGATAAAAAATAGTTTAAATACCA